TTTGCAAATGAGAGCCTCTTGTTTTTCAGAGCCACACATGATGAAGCATCCTTGATAAAAGAGACTTTGTACGACTACGAAAGGGCTTCTGGACAGGCAATTAATTTTAATAAATCAAAAGTATCCTTTAGTAGCAATGTGGTGATTAATTGTCGTGACTCGTGAGGGGTTGATTGACGAGAAATATGTGGGTTTGCTTGCTCTAGTTGGGAGAAGTAGAAAGAAGATTTTGAGTTAACTTAGACAGAGAATTATTAACCGCATAATAATTGGAATAATAAATTTTCATCTAAGACGGGAAGGGAGAGTTGGGGGAGTTGCAGGAGTCGGAGTGGACTGCCATGTGGTCATGGCAGATCCCGCCTAAAATAAAAATGTTTTTTTGTCGGGTATGTAGCGGTTGTTTACCTACGAGAGACCTGTTGCAAGCTCGCCGAGTGGTTTGTCCAGAGGTTTGCGGTCTGTGTGGGGAGGATCGGGAGTCACATGTGCATATTTTGCTCCATTGCCGAGTTGCTAGAGAAACCTAGGAGATGCAGTCATGGACTTCTTGGCCAGGAGGGGAGGAGCTTTCTTTGCTGGGGCAGATTAATCAAGCGTTTCGAACTAGAAGACGGGATGGTGTGGAGAAGTTGACTTGGGGTGGATGGGCAATCTGGTGTGAGAGGAACCACCGGGTATGGCAAGGTGCAATTTCCACGGTTCAGCTGCTAGTTGACCGTGCTCGGCTTGTTGTTGAAAGCTGGCGTCAAACCCAGGAAGGGCGCTGGAACAAGCCATTACAGAGGTCTCAGGGGAGAGCAACTTGGAGGATCTTTAAGCTGAAAGTAAACGCAGTGATTCGGATGAGCTGCTGCGGTCTCAAGTGGTGTCTTCGTGATGATAGAGGGAGCTTTGCGACGGGGTCTGCCTGTTCGTGGCCAGGGAAGTGGACTCCGCTTGGGGCTAAGGATGTTTTCTTTTGGACTGTTTTCAGTCCCAGACCAGACCAGACTTAAACAGACCAGACCAGACCAGACCAGACTTAAACAGACAAGACCAGACCAGACTTAAACAGACCAGACCAGACCAGACTTAAACAGACCAGACCAGACCAGACTTCCGTAGTTATAAAATACACAGAGACCAGACGTTTACCAGACCAGACCAGACGAGTTCAGACCAGACCAGACCAGACCAGACTTAAACAGACCAGACCAGACTTAAACAGACCAGACCAGACCAGCAAATTTCAGTCCAAAAGAAAACATCCTAAACTTTTGGAGATCCGGGAGGCTCTCAGTTGGCTTAAACAACATGGATGGAATGAGGTCGAGGTAGAGTCCGATGCAACTTGAGCCATTGCATAAATCACACACAGATCTAGTTGCTCTTCGATTGGCTTGTTGGGTGAATATTTTAGAGATAGCTAAATCCTTTTTAAGGATTTCATTTAGTTGTTGTGCGTGAGTCACAATCTTGGTTTTATTCTCCGCTTTTATTGTATCATCTTTAGATGATAGACTTGATCAATGATAATTAAGTCTTCTTCTTGCAAAAAAATCTTTTGACCCAACTTTATTATTTACTCCGTAATTTTATGCAGCCCTACTAATCAGTCCAAGAATCCAATTCAACCAATTGTTTTCCTTCTCTATCATAAATAAACTAGGCGGCCCATCTATACTTTAAAGAAACAGTCCAAGCCCAAGGGTTTTAAATTCTGCCAACCCATTAACATAAAAAAACGGTCCAGCCCACTAGTCATGTAAATAGAAACATGCGGCCCAACTGAAGTAGAGAATACGTACAGCGTAAAAGTTTCTCTTCTTCGCTCCTTGGTCGGCGATGAACAGAGCGAGCTGAGGCTATATGGAGTCATGGCGGACCGGCGGCGCCAAGGCGTCTCCAGAAAACTCCAGTTAGATCTTCCTCTTCCGGAGATTCCCGGCGTGCAGGTGGAACTGTGCTGCTCTCTCCGGCGTGGAGGCAAATCGTCACCGGTAGTTCCGCAACCAAGGCGACGTTCGGTGCGTCCATGAGCAGTGGCGGATGAACGCAGCGATCGACCTCCTCTTAGCGGAAGCTCCGGCGTTTATCTAATCATCTACCTGCCTAGAACGACGACTGTGCTGCGGCTGACCATCTCCGCCTCCTCCAATAGTCAGCGACGGACGACGGTCCCTCCTCCCTGCGAAGACAGCCACGCAGACTCCGTACCCTTCTTCTCCGATCTGGGGTATATGAGTTTTTGTAGAGTTTAGTAGGTCGTTACTTTGATGCAGGCATGCTGGTCGAACGAATGTACACATATATACTACTGGGGAAATCAGGTAGCCATTAATCTATGCTTATTATTTAACAAAGCTCAAGTAGCCATTAATGGAGTTAGAAGTTTTCTAGAGAGAAGGGTGGAGAAGAGTCAAAAGACAAGGATCTCAAATATGGAAGAAAATTCTCCTAATTATAGGGAAAGGGGGGGGGAGTGCAAAACCTACCCTAATGGGCCGCATGCTGAAATGGGCTAGATAGACTGCAATAGGCCTCGGTCATTAGGCTCTGTATGGGATAAACCAGATAATGCATTAAACTATTAGAACAGTAGTACATCAGGATAATATATCTTAACATAACTTCATCTGTTTCTTGAATAGTAAGAGTGCGAATTTGTTCGAGAATTTATGCCCCTACTCGTGTTCTTCATCTGTCTTGGACTCTTGGGCATACACAGGGCGGAATCAGGGGCCCCGAGCCGGGGCATCTCAAATTCTTTTATTGATCTTTTTTGGAAATCAAAATTCTATTATTGATCTTAAAAACTACATAATATTTGCTCTCAATAGTCGTTCTTTGTCTGGGGCAACAAAAGTCCAAGGCACGGCCCCGCCCTTCGTCAGGGTTCTTAAGTTTATGTATATGTATTATATGAAGTATATTTTATATCCATTCTTAGCACCCCGATGCTCTTACTCGCTCAAATTGTTGCAAGGGCTGGTCGGGAACGAAGAATCGCCGGAGGAGTTAGGCTTTGGTGAATTTTTTTAATTTTCCCACATGCAAAACGGCATCTTTCAATTAAATGCAAAAATATATATGAAATTATATACTAAATATGTAAAAGTCGCGAATCAATTACTCCATATAGGCTATGTTTGGTGGACATAAGTCTCTGCCTTTTAGCTTTTGTATTGTTGAAAAAGTCTCTAAAAGTTTTTAGTTGTATGTTTAGGGTATGTTTGGTAAAACTAGCTGAAAATATACTTTTGTGAGCTTTTTAATAAATGTTAGCTTTTAGTGACTGAAAAGATCTTAAAAGAAAAAAGTGATATTTGTTTGGTAAAAAACTGACTGTTTGATTTAGTTCGATTTGGTATACAAGCTGTTAGGACTAATTAGTACTAAAAGTCACGGGCTTTTCTCAGACGCTACTCACTGTAGCATCTCAAAAAAGATCTTTTAAATCTTGAAAAGCTCTCAAAAATTGTCATGTCAAACATACAACTAGAAACTTTTAGAAACTTCTAGTTGGTCGTTAACTAGACACGACGGCGAATAGGGACAGACCGTGTTGCATAATACGACAGTTTTTACTTTTTACAAATCGGAAAGTGACCGTTTTTACTTTTTGTAAATTTTTAATTTCATTTCTTAATGTGCACCTCCATGCAAATTTAGATTTTATAAAAACACATTTTTTCAATGGTTCAATTATTATAATTATTATTTACTATTATTATTATAATTAGTATTATCAATCATTCAATACACATAACATCATTTGGCTAGTTGGTACTTCAACCGTCAAACTTGTGCGTTGGCAAACGTGAAAAGTGGACCGTTTCATTTAAAAAAGAACGGAGGAAGTAAGTAATACGAAGTATATCATAATTTTGATAAAAAAGATTTGGTTTCAAGAACATTTTTTTCTAATAAGTCAATAGACAGTATGTCACGACTCAGAACTTCAAATGACAATGAATTTCAATTTTTTTTGCATATATCATATTCATATACAAATACATTTATCAATTCAAAGCAAGTGCAGAGAATATATTATATTGGAATGCTTTACTAACGCCCCAGAAGAACGTATAAAATAAAATCAATTCAACCTCAGTAAACAATCTCTAAATTTTAGTTCACAAAAAAAGGTTGATTTTCTACACAACACAAAAAGAAACTAATTTTAGTTCCATCTAAATTTGGTGTTAAAAGGCAATAAACTAATTAAAGCAGATGCAAACATTTCTTTTGGCAAATTGAATTTTAGAAAATGAATACTATCGTATATATTTAAGTTCGTAAAATTTAACACTAATATAGTAAATTAAAAAGCAAGAGTATACCATTGCATTAGAATTCTGCCAAGGATAATGGTTTTCTTCTCATATCAAGTACTTCGTATATCCGTATGTGCAGTTGTGCCCGGGTGTCTTACATCGATACTACCTTGATATTTGATAAGGATTACCGGCACTCCTAACTCAATATATATAGTGGCATCCAGTTTGATCGAAGACAATAATTGCTATAGGGAATTTCAAGAGGCATTCGAAAATTGATCCTATTTATTATTAACAAATTTTATAAAAGCTGATTATTATGTTTAAAAAAACTGTTCATTATTTGGAATCATAAAAGACACTGTAATTAATGGTTGTTAACCACATTAGTCTCTTAGTAATCTGTGCAGCCTATGCCGCCCAGGTTTTCAAAATCCAGTTGGTCGCCCAAGATTGATTAAATAATTAATTAATTAACCAAACAATAAAAAAAGCTAGCTACAGTATTCCCGCCCAAAAGTTACTTCCCACTATTTTGTTATTATATATATAAATATTTATAGAATATATAGATATATAGATACTACCAACTTTTTACTTTTCAAAATCAATTTTTTCAAATACTAGTAACATTTATTTAATCACTTCTCCTTATTTCATAAAAAAAACTCATTTTTAAACCCTCGAAAATACCCTAAACCCTCGAAATACCCTAAAATGGCTCTCATTTATTAACAGACTGTAACTGTATACGTAACCTCCGATCCCTAAACCCTCGAAATACCCTAAAATGGCGCCCACAGCACCAGTCCAACTCCACCGGTACCCACAAAGGCATTACATCGACGCTCTCAGGTGGCTCCCTCGACTCTCCGCCTTCCACCGCCATATCATCCTTGCTGCTTTCGACTCTGACACGTCTTCCCCCTACCTCCAACTTCTTAGCTTATCCCAATCGCAGCATTCGGATTCAGATCCCGAAATTCCTGAACTCAGTGTGGAATCATCCCTTTCTACCCCATCTCGGATCTCTTCCCTGAAAGCCTGCCGAAACTCCAGTAAACCACTCATTGCGGCCGCTACATCTTTTGGTTCTCTCTCGATTCTCTCTGCTGATTTGATGAATGGGTCGTTAAATGTCGAAACCTCGGTGTCTGAAAGAGCTTTTCACTCCGGACCCATCTTGGGGATTGATGTGTGTGAAAATGGGTCGGATGTTGTTACTGTTGGGGAAGATGGAAAGGTGAATTGGATCAACATTGGGGGAGGAATTGGGGAGAAGTTGAAATTTCAAAACGTTTCTGGCAATAATGGGCTGGTCTCTTATCACGCAGTTAAGTGGGCTTCTCCAGTGGAGTTTGTGACGGGTGGATTGGGGCATAGCCTGCAGTGGTGGGATCTGAGACGGCCAGGTGGACCGGCTTATCAGTTTAAAGGAGATTGGTAATATATTGTGGCTCCAATATTTTAATTAAGTTCATGGTGCTTTAGTGGAAATATACTGTTCTTTTTGGTTTAACTTTCTGCAAGCATTTAGATAACTTCCCTAGCCAATATTTCACTCTCTGTTATCATGATGTTTAATATGGAGTATTCGATTCTGTGAAGGCATTGATTTGTAAAAAATGGTTGGATTTTGTGTGCAAAAGTTGTTCTGTGTGATATCCAAGTCTGTTCCTCTTTCACTTGCCTATTTTCTACTAATATGTTTTGAATATCTAAAAAGTGGCGCTTTATATAAGAATGGGTTATGCTGTTATGGTTTTCATCACATAATAGTAATCTTTCTAAGGTTCTTTTTCATTATGTACTCTCCGGATTTGTTAGAAGACACTGAGACTTTAAATCCAACTATAGTACTGACTTTCTTATACTAAGAGTTAGATTGGTCTTAGATGGAGCAAGCAGATGCAATGTTTTGTGCTTGTGTGTTTATGATAGTCTATTCTTCTTGCCTCCTTAGTAGACATTCGTGAGGATATTTTCTCCGTTTTATTGGCGCACTTGATGTTTGGATCAAATTGTCATCCTACAGATGAGGTTCTTGCTTATTTCCTTTCTTCACTATTTTCTCAGTTCTGTTTTATTTTCAAAGAAAATAAACAATGAACTGACACCATATAGGAACTATATATGGACAAATAAGTAGCTCCTACCACCTCGTTAAAATGCAACCAATATACAGGTCTTTCATCATATTAACTTTATTTTCTAATAAGGTGGCATGGTCTGGTTAACTGACATCTAATCATTCAGTATGCATCATATTAACTCTTCTTTGATCTTCATTTAGAGGGTGAAACTAAAGTATTTGTTCATTTACTATGATCAATCTTTTGATTTCAGTCCTCATTGTTGCCTTGAAGTTGGCATCTTGTCTTTTTATTTTTTCGTTTGATACTATCAGTAAGTTATTAACAGTTATTGTTTCACGATTCGTTGATTCTGTAGGAATCATGGAGCGACATCGGGTATTGTGCACTCAATTGACATCCATCCATCGAGGAAGCATGCCTGTCTTGTAAGTAGCTTTTACATTTTAATATAAAATCTTCTTTGTTGGACCCTTAATCCCAAAATAAGGTTGTTTTTACATTCTTATTTCCCAAACTAGAGGATTTTGTATGTTATTCCCCAATGATTATGAAATTTATGTGGCTGATAACTTATCACGTAGGTGATCCCTTCAATCCCCTCCATCCAAACAGAACCTTAGAGTATTTCTTCCTAACGCAATCCCAACTTTGCTAAAGCAACAATGACACATAGATGTCTGCTGGATATTGATTTTGAATTTGAATACCTAAGCCTGTCTCTGACTTGGGAATATGAAATAAAGAAAAATGGCTCACTAAACTGTCTGCGCTTCTTTGTTATGAAGTAGCAGTCAACCAGTCAGTCCATGCAATTTTTGACGCGATTTTCATCATGGATCATCCGAAAATAGTCTCTACATGGGTAAAGCTATGTACATCCGACCCCCCCTTACCCCACCACAGGTGGGAGCCTTTGCGGCACTGGGTAATGTTGTTGTTGTTGGTTATTGAGTTCTTGGGTGGGAGGCCTTTGTGATGTATAATGATAAAGCTGTGTTGTATAGGTCCAGGGATTCTGAGCAGGTTAAGACAAGATTTAACTCTAAAAAATCCAGAGGACTTATTGACCCTTTTCCCCTTTACGGCTTAGTTTCTGCGACACATCGGTTTTTTATTTGGCCTTCTTTTATGTCCCCTAAGTCGCATACTAGGCCTCGTGGGTGAAGACAAGAATTGCTGTGATTGTTAAAACATTTGGTTGTTTGTTGCTACGCTGGGGAGGAGATGAATAGTTTTTAAAGATTAAGCCTCCATACTGATGTATCAATAATGTTCCCTCACCTTTAATGCCATTAAGAAGTAATCTATGTATTGGTTTTTTGTCATTCAAATATCTGAAAATGGCATCCCATTAGTTCCTAATTTCATGTAAACTAGGTCATTATCTTTAATGTTATTGTATCTAAAGGCAGGAGGTTCCTCTGGTACTGTGTTTGTATGGGATCTTCGTAGACAACAGTCTATAGCTCTTTCTGGCATTGGGACCAATGATTCATCTGTCCAGGCACTGTCAGAAAGTGAGGTTTGGGAGGTTCAGTATGACTGTCCCTATTCTTCCAGCAGCGCACTCTCTTCAGCTTCTTGTTATCTTCCTGCCATGATTTGCTCAGAGGATGGCATCCTTGGTGTTATAGAGCAAGGTATGGAGTCATTGGTGTAGTCTACCAAAAGAATTTAGTGTAGGCTTGAAGAATAATTCATTCATATTATTTTTTACTGCAAAAGTTTTTTATTTTTCGTAAAACTGAAATTGGGCTGGCCAGCAGTGTATATAGTGCACAGCTGTTGCTTTTACAATGTTGGATTACTTTCTCTGGTTCATGATTCATTTGGGTTGCTTTGATTACACAGGTGAAGAGCCTATTGAACTTCTGGCTGAACCATGTGCAATCAACAGCTTTGACATTGACAAGCAAAACCCCTTGGTATGTGTAAATGTGATTATTTATCACGTGTAAGATTACTACCGTGCTCTCATTTTCATTTTTGCATTTGTCTTTACACCTAAACACGCCTGCTGGACCAAAACAATTGACTTTACTTAAAATATGGAATAATCAGTTGCATTTGTGCATTTTTTACACTTATTTTGTGTTACCCTTACTGAGCAGGATGTGATCTGTAGCCTGGAATGGGAATCCATAGCCATATTGTCAAGGTCTGACATAGCTGCCACATCCAGATCCAAGGTTTTTTAGCTAGACTAGATGATGTAACTCTACTTTCTGCCATATTTATGAACTCTTGTGTGTGCTCGTCAACTGTAAATTGTACCATCATGACAAGGCGTGGAGAACTGATGGAATCATGACAGGTTAATGCTATATGAAAGAAACCCACACAGTGATTGCTCATGCTACTATTCTACCAAAGAAAGCCATTATTTCAGTGATTGCTCTGCAAGGGCCCTTTGAGTGATTGATTGACAACGTTGTGCCATGTTGAAAATTGCATTTCATTCTTCACTTTAATGTGCAAATTTGACCAAGAAAATTGCATTGCAAATTTTTGTAGAGCGCAATACATTGAGAAATGAAACACACTACCAAGTAAAGTTGAATCAGTAAAACTTCATCTGGATGGTATTCTATAGTCGTTTTGTAACTACCTAATCCCCAATTACCCCCCCCCCCCCACCCACCCACACCTTAATGTGTTTCCCTTAGAAGTTTGCAACCTGTAAATTGTTGAATACTAATGAAGAAAATTCAAGTATAAAGTGTGTGCATGATGATTCTGCTTAAGAATTGTGGAGTGGTTGAGAATCATATATTTAAGTTAACATCTATAAGAACTGGAAGCTAAAAAGGCAGTGTTGTATGATTTTCTTGTTTCCTATGCAACATGAGGGGAGTCTGTTGCAGCTTCATACGAGTCCACTAAGTTGGCAGTCTGAGTCGGGTAGGTTTTTCCGGTCTCGTGTTGATGCTGAAAACCCCAGCTAAGCTGACTAGTGCAGACATGCAAGTGCTGTTGACCTGTGGTGCTGAAATGCGATAACTGAAACAAGAAACTGCTTACATATTCAACTAAACATGTATTTTTGAAGAACAAAGTGTCATGGGAGGTGCGCCTCGTCACGGAGACCAACAAACTATCGTTCTCTTTGAATTTTTCGGCTCTATTTGGATTGTTTTTTAAAAAAAGAATTTGCTAATATCACTTTTCTAATGGACTTTCTGGAGACGGGTGGCTGGAAACAGAAAAAAAGATGGTCTTGAGGTCTTCTTGACGAGATGCACCTCCTACTATTTTTGTTTTATTTTTTCGGAAACTTTTGAAAATCAGAGGTAATTTTTCTAATGGCGTTAGACGTTATGCCCCAGTTGTGATAACGGAAGTTGAAGCACATCTCTCACTTTGTTAAAAAATGAAACACATGTCCCTATATGAAAATGGCCCAAACCACAGGTACGTTTTCTCTACTTTTCCCTATATAATTTTGTTATGATTGAAATTTGAAAGTTTGAGTACACTTAAACTTTTTGGACTTTTGATAGTCTATATTTAATGTAGCTAAATTTGTAAAACTCATGAACTTTTAAAAGTTTGTCAGTAATTTCATACACACTCCATATAATAAGATATTACATACTTACATCTATCAGAATACTAAAAGAGAATTATATACTACGTAATTTTTATTGAGTGATTGTGAAACTGTGAAATGAAATATGATAACTACCTCTTAACTTAATATAATTAATCCCTCCATTCAGATGACAATCCCAACGGTTAAATAACTTAAAAAAGGGATGAATTTTGAAGAATCGAGAGCGGTCAGTCACACAAATCTTCTCATTGACTCTCACAAGCATAACTTCTGGGTTAAAAGTGGTAACCTTAAATTTAATATCCTAACTTCTTTAAGTAATAAATAACTTCTTTAATTTAAACAAAGATGAATTCTCACGCTATTTGAATAGTTCCTCAGTAATAAAAATAGTAGTCAACACTATGTTTAGCCTCTTCCATTGACACAACACACATGCAATATTCGTTCTCCATAAATTTTTATAGGCATTATGGATATGAGATGCTAACATCCTAACTTTAATATCCTAACTTTTCACCTACACGGCCGTGTGTGTGTTGTGTATGCGTATGCGTATGTGAATGTGTATGTGTATGATATGTGTGTGAATGTGAATGCGAATGCGAGTGTATGTGTATGTGTATGTGTATGTGTATGTGTATGTGTATGTGTATGTGTATGTGTATGTGTATGTGTATGTGTAGGTGTAGGTGTAGGTGTAGGTGTAGGTGTAGGTGTATGTGTATGTGTATGTGTATGTGTATGTGTATGTGTATGTGTATGTGTATGTGTATGTGTATGTGTATGTGTATGTGTATGTGTATGTGTATGTGTATGTGTATGTGTATGTGTATGTGTATGTGTATGTGTATGTGTAGGTGTAGGTGTAGGTGTAGGTGTAGGTGTAGGTGTAGGTGTATGTGTATGTGTATGTGTATGTGTATGTGTATGTGTATGTGTATGTGTATGTGTATGTGTATGTGTATGTGTATGTGTATGTGTATGTGTATGTGTATGTGTATGTGTATGTGTATGTGTATGTGTATGTGTATGTGTATGTGTATGTGTATGTGTATGTGTATGTGTATGTGTATGTGTATGTGTATGTGTATGTGTATGTGTATGTGTATGTGTATGTGTATGTGTATGTGTATGTGTATGTGTATGTGTATGTGTATGTGTATGTGTATGTGTATGTGTATGTGTATGTGTATGTGTATGTGTATGTGTATGTGTATGTGTATGTGTATGTGTATGTGTATGTGTATGTGTATGTGTATGTGTATGTGTATGTGTATGTGTATGTGTATGTGTATGTGTATGTGTATGTGTATGTGTATGTGTATGTGTATGTGTATGTGTATGTGTATGTGTATGAAGATTAGAGATCAATTACAACCCTACTCAATTTACTAACCTACAAACTAATCACGACCGTACATATTAGTAAGACTTGTGTGCTTTGTTGCTAACAATGAGGGTTCTTTTGTGATTTAGAGTGGAATAAATATTGGAAAGCAAACCACACACGTTCATGACTTTCCATATCATAACCCCTTAATTATTGGTTGCTTATTTCTTTCATTCAATCTTTGCTTCATTGTCGCCATTATTATCTCCTCTATTTTCCTCTCCATCTCATTTTTTTCTCCATTTCCATCTTAAATTTAATAGAATGTGGTTGATGCTCTTCTATTCATACTCATGGATTGTGGCATGCATAGGGAGAACATTAGTTCTCAAAGGCCATGGATTCCGGCATCGCCATGGAATTCGGTGTACAAGCTAGTTTTTAAAATTTTTAATTTTGGTTTTCGTTTCCTTATCAATTCAACAATTTCATGTTTATGCAAATATAAAATTCTTGTGATTTAGTATGCAAACATTTTACCATTTAGAATTTCGTATGCGTTCCGGTGTGGGAATGCCATCCGGATTTCTTTTGATTTTTTTTTTTACTTTTTTGTTTTGGTGTCGTTTTCATATCAACTTAAAATTTCCGTGTTTGCAAACTTGTAATTTCAGTATGCATTTTTTTTATTTTTTTTCATTTAGAACATGTTTCTCATATATTATGCATTTTGTGATCTCCTGAATTGTGCATGCATGTCATTTGAATATGGAATGCAAATCTCATAATGAAAAGATGCACGTACAATATGAACTTCTAAAGTGCACATGTCAACTTACTAAAATTCTGTGTATAAACTTCTAAAATGTACACGTCAGATCATCTTAATAAAATGCATTGTATATACTTCTAAAATGCAAATGCATAATGATAAAATGCATCATATGAACTACTAAAATGTAGATGCCATAGCGGTGAGACGCAGTATGAACTACGTAGTATTAAAGTGCACTTATAATCTTACGAATGTGCAAGATACAAAATTCTAAAATGCAAATGTCATAATGAAAAAAAAATGTAACATATGAACTACTCCCTCCGTTCCTTAAAACTTTGTCAACTTTCATTTTTTGGTTGTTCAACTAACTTTGCCACTTTCCTTTTCAAGTAAGGAACATGTGTTCCAATTAATTCTCTCTCTTCTGCACAAACTTCAAACACACGGTTATTACTTTATTAATCTCTGTGCGAGTCAAACTTGACAAAATTTTAAGGGATGAAGGGAGTACTAAAATGCAGATGCCATAACGACAAGATGCATTATGAACTATTAAAGTGCACATATCATCGTACTAAATTGCCATATACAAACTTCTACAATGCACATGTCTTGATTAAAAATGCTACATATGAACTACTAAAATGCAACATCAACATATTTTTAATCTATCTAATCTAAAAACTTATATGCACCAATGATGGTTAGGGCATTTTAGGAATGATAAAAATGTTGGTGTAACACTAAAGCAATTTACACTTGTACAATTTGTTTTAGTCATTGTACCATTCATCATTAAATCTAAATCTCCACCTTAACTCCGTTAACTCCAACGGTTTCCAACTTTTGAGTTTCCAACATAATGCCTTCACATTTTAATGATTCTATGCACTTAGATTTATTTGATTTCCGTTTAATGTTCTAATTGAGTTTCTCATCATGTATTTTACCTTATGCAAAAATTTCGAAAATCATTATTCTATTATAATTATTCTAATTTGTCATGTCTAATTTAATTATTATTCATCTTATTTTTACTGCTTATTTTTTATATATATTTAAAAACCTTAACATTTCAAAAGTAGATAGATTAAGAATAGTGAAAGAGGTTATATAACTTTTGAGGGTAGGATGGGAAGATAGCGGAATAATGTGATGGAATGAAGGACAAGTCCGGCCAAAAAAAGAAGTTGTAATAGTGTATTATTTTCAAAATTATTGAGGGCATGATGAGAAGATTTTTTTCGTTACGAACAAAAAAGGAAAGTGAGAAGTTTTTTTTGTTACAGAGGGAGTAAGTAGTAGTAATAATATTTTTTGGCCGAAGCGGGGGTGGTTGCTCCCCATGCCCCTTAGCTCCTCCACTGCCGATATGGTACTTTAATATGTATTAATTTCTCTTATTATAGTGGCATAATAGATGATTATTTGTACAAGTAATTGTGTGCAAATATGAGATTACTATGAACGGAAGATGTTGATCATCACCCCCATCACCCCCTACTACTCGACCCCAAGTAATATCTAGCCGGCCATTGCAATATTTTATTTCATATGCTTATCAAAGAGGATTGTTAACTTATTGAATCAGAGATATTATTAATTTTACCCATGACACTATGTATAATTCACATTCATTATTGCACTTGCCTCTTATTACCACATGTTTGGTGCTATTGGATTCAAATATCAAAATGGAATACATGTTTTAGCTAGGCCTTATAAACCTAATCATCCTGCCCACTCTTTCTTAGATTGTTTATTGCCACATTATTGATATTACATTCTTATAGGGCGTTTCGGGACGATCCTTGTCAGGCTTACGGGAACATAGATGTGTCACGCCCCTTTTTGTATCATCCGTTATGTGGGAAATATGCATAAAGCTAATCTTGTGTGCAAGTTCACATAAGTTAAATATATTAATCATTAATATTCACATTATGTTAACCTTGTCAAAATAACATTGGACATTTTTCCTCGCGCATCGCGCGCTATAGAACTAGTTATAACTATGTACTTCTAATATAAGGTATGTAGATATTTTGAATGTATAATACA